AAAGATGAGGCTTTCTACTCCCGTAAAGATTTACACCCTCGGAAACCCTATACAGGGTCGCTATGGGTCGGAACCGACTCGATGGCACATAACAACAACATAGGTCGGAACAGACTCGACAGCACTTAACAACAACATAATAAAAAAATGATTCCTAGTGTCACTGTGGAGTCATGGTGTGGCGCTGTGGGTTAATGCGCTGGGTTGCAAAGTCGATATGAACTGCAAGGTCAGCGGTCCAAGCTCACCAGCTGCTCCTTGGAAATCCTATACAGGGTTACTGTGGGTCAGAACTGACTCGATGGCACTAAACAACAACAGTATCACTGTAGGATAACCATAGGATGATTAACTGCAAGGTCATCAGTTCAAATCCACTAGCCACTCCATGGTAGAAAGAAGAGGCATGCGCTCCTGGAAAAGATTTACTGCCTCAGAAATTCTATACTGGGTCGCTGTGAGTCAGAATTGACTCAATGGCATTTGATTGTTGGTGGTTTATGATAGAAAAGGGTAAATTTAATATAGAAGGGTTTGACAGCTGCCCTGAAAAAATCCTCTTTTCTAAAAACCACTATTAAAAGTACTCTAAGGACGAAATTATCCAATAGAACGCTGCTCTAAAACTGGATAAACTCCAAGGTGAAAATTAAACATATATTTTCAGTTGGCTAGGTACCAACTGACACTCTCATTTGTATTATAACAGGTAACTCATATAGATGTCATCAATTTACTTGATGGACTTCTAGGGCAACAGAGAACAGTTGTTCAGTGTACTATCGATATAACTATGTCTATTTAGATATATAAGGTGATTGATTTGAAAAAAGTATGTAAGTCAATTTAGGACTGGAAGTATACCAAAGCATTCGTCAAGTTCTGTCTTCCTCTTCCTCTTTGCAAATGTTTTGTTAGACATGGAACTGAGTGTCTTGCCATTTAAAAAGTATCAAACTGTAGTTTGATTGAGAAACAAGTCTTTCAAACAGTTTATCCTTTCAGTGAACTGTCACTTGGATTTTAGCACAGATATCATCTTCTACAAGTAATAGGAATATATCAAATTCATCCATTTTATATGTAATAGAGAAATATGTAGAATACTTTTTATTGCTGAAAGGGGGGGGTTGATAAAAAATATCCATAGCAAATTGTTGTTATTAGATGCCACAGAGTCAGTTCTGGCTCATAGAGACCCTCTGTATGGTTTCTCAGGAGCGACTGGTGGGTCTGAACCACCAACCTTTCAGTTAGCAGTTCAGTGTTTATCCTGTAGCATCACACCAGGACTCCCAACAATAAAATACTGAAATTTAGATTTAGGATATTGGAAGTAAAATGAATCATATCTTCATTCCATCAACTTCAAGCACAAAATAAAAGAGGCATGAAGTCCTGTTAGGGACAAATTAAGTCTTAAATTATTTGAGATAAGTCTGTTCAAGTAGCAAGTAGTACTTCAGTCTAGTTTTAAACTACTTAACTTACCTATATGGAAGTAAAAACCTATTCATTTTTGGTTTAGTCTCAGGAGTCCAGTTTTATGTCCTAGTAGATCAGAGTTAGTTTAATCTAGAACTCAATTTTTTTCCATGTCTTTCATGCTTCAGAGAGGACACACATTTAAAAATCAGTCATTTCTATTATTATTTTTTTTTTTTAGTAGTAGAATGCTTTTTCCTAAAGAATTGTCCATAGAACTCAGGGACAGTCTATTCTTAACATCAAGCCTGATGAGGTTGGGGAAGAGACAGAGCTGGAATAGGAGAAAGGGAATGAATACCTGTCTTCTCCCCTTCTATTCATCGTTTCATCATTGTCTTCACAACCACCATGCTTTCATATTGTCTTAAGAGTTGTTGCAAAGGGGAGCCACTTTTGCAGAATGTACTCAGGGGAAGCAAATGTTCCACCTCTTTTCCCCATAATTGGCCTTCTAATGGAAACTCATTAACAACGTGCAATATGCAGATGATACAACCTTGCTTGCTGAAAGTGAAGAGGACTTAAAATATTTACTGATGAAGATCAAAGAGCACAGCCTTCAGTACTGATTGCATCTCAGTGTAAAGAAAACAAAAATCCTCACCACTGGACCAGTAAACAACATTCTTGTCAATGGAGAAAAGATTGAAGTTGTCAAGGACTTCATTCTTCTTGGATCAACTATCAACACTCATGGAAGCAACAGTCAAGAAATCAGACAACATATTGCATTAGGCAAATCTGTTGCACAAGACCTTTTTAAAGTGTTGAAGAGCAAAGATGTCAGCTTGAGGACTAAGGTATGCCTGACCCAAGCCATGTATTTTCAATAAACTCATATGCATGCGAAAGCTGGACAATGAATAAGGAAGACCGTAGAAGAATTGATGCTTTTGCGTTATGGTGTTGGAGAATATTGAAAATGCCATGGACTGCCAAAAGAACCAACAGATCTATGTTGGAAGAAGTGCAGCCAGAGTGCTCCTTGGAGGTCAGGATGGTCAAACTTCGTCTCTCATACTTAGGGCATATTGTCAGGAGGGACCAGTCACTGGAGAAGGATATCATGTTTGGTAGGGTGGAGGGTCAGAGAAAAAGAGGAAGACCTCCAGTGAAATGGATTGGCAAAGTGGCAGCATCAATGGGCTCAAGCGTGGCAACAACAATGAGGTTGGCCCAGGATCGGACCGTATATTGTTCTGCTGTGCGTAAGGTCACCATGAGTCAGTTCTGACCCATAGTGACCCTGTATAGGGTTTCTGAGGAGCATCTGGTGAGCTTGAGCTGCTGACCTTGCAATTCAAATGGCTTTGCAATCTGGCGCATTAACCCACCGCACCACACCAGGACTCCAAGGTTTCCATTGTTGTTGTTAGGTGCTGAAACCTCAATATTTAAAATGTGAATGGCCGGCCTAACTGAAACATGAGTTGGTGGACAAAGTCTAGTCTATTTTTACTCTTGTTTGGAGGAGAGCAGTCCATCTTTCTCCACTTGTCCCTGAGTACCTGTGTAGAATCTTATGTCTACAGAACCAATCCAAACCCATTGCCGCTGAGTTGATTCAGACCCATAGCAACCCTACAGGACAAAGTAGAACAATCCCAGGGTATCCGAAGCTGTAGTCTTTAAGGAAGCATATTGCCACATCTTTCTCCTGTGGTGTAGCTGGTGAGTTCCAACAATGGAAACATTAAAGGGGTGGGATCTGTGGTCTGTACCAGGTGACACTGTCAGAATATGAAGACACCAAAATGACAGTCTCTAAAATTTTGTGCAGTATTTGGGGGGAAAATACGTTATTTTTTTATTTTTAAAATTCCTATAATTACAACAAAAACATTTCTCATAAGCCTAGCATACATGTATCAAAATATCTATAAGGTTGAATCTCTCTGCTAATTTACTTTATAAACCTTTTAATGCACTCTGGTCAGAGCTGTCATTATTATCCAATTACAGTGATGCTTTGAATCATGTCGTTGTGACTGCAAATATGCACAGTCATTTTCATTGATACCAGTGTTTTTATAGTTGCCGATCTTGTAAAATTTTCTAGTGTTTTAGCTACAATATTGTGGTAAATAGAATAGAGAATAAACTAGTAATTAAAGGAAATGGAGGAGAAAAACCTAAAAATGCTTTTATTCAGTTACTAATATTGTTGTGACTAATGTAATCCAATGTAGAATGTATAAAACTCATGTATTATTATACAGTATTCATATAATCTAAGAAATATTACATTTCAGCAATTGGTAACTATAGCACAATGTTAATATTTATATTAAACATTACTAAGGATTCTGTATGGTCTGGTATGGGAGTGGGGGTTATACCATTAATTACCACACTGGGTGACACCAACCGTAGTTAGAGATGCTACTGGGTTCCATCCACTAACCTTATGGTTAGCAGTCAAGTGCTTAACTGCAATGCCACCAGGACTCCTTAAGTCTCCAGGGACTGTTTAGTTGTGCCTTTTATAAACAGCTAAACTAGATCTGGTAGCATAGTGGCTATGAATCAGGCTGCGAACCACAAGGTCAGCAGTTTGAAACCACTAGCTGTTCTGTGAGAAAAAAGATGAGGCGTTCTGCTCCTGTAAAGATTTACAGCCTCGGAAACCCTGTACTTGGTCACTATGAGTCAGAACCAATTCCATGACACATTACCACCAAACTAGAGCTATGTATGCTCTTTTGAATCACATTGAGAGTGTTGACTTCTTATTGAGATCATGATTCTGTTTGATCCTATTCTTAGAGCTACTTTTCATCTTTCTTTATAGAGCTACATTTCTTTGAGGCTTTTTTTTTTTTTGCTAATGTTTTGAAAGTCATACATTTTTGTTTATTCTTGGTTAGTTTAGACTAAGCAAAATGTCACATAACAGGTTTCTTCTTTTCTTCGATTACAGCTCCAAATAGATTGGGAGAAAATCAAAGCTAAAATTGAGATGGAAATGACTAAAGAACGAGAGCGTTCGTCAGCCAACCAGTCCAGCAAGGGGATAGGTATAAAGCATTAAATGCCATACATGCCATTAAGAAGCTTTATCTTTTGGAATTAGTGCTGATTAACCAAGGATATGCATGTCTTGGTTGCTAAAGAAAAAGGAAAAGTCTTTAAATCAGTATAAATTCTTGATGTATATTTAATACTAAAAGTACATTCAGAAAGATTAAGCATAAAATGATTGATACAGTTCTACCTTTTTATATTTTTCTAGCTCAATAATTAGCAAAATAGTTCTATATTGCTATGATACGCCCCAGTTTTTGTCCATTATTTTATCCATAAATCTTCAGTATGATGAACTATTAATGCTGATAATGGAACACTGGACTCTTGAAAAAGTATATTTTATGATTAATTTCTGTTCAACCTCTGAATTGTAAAGTGTTCCAAAAGTTTATTTTAAAGCAAAGATATAAGAAAATGAACTTGGGAAAATGTATAACAATTGTCAAATACATTTAAAATGCTCTTTTAACTTAAAGTAATTTCTGGTATTATAATTTGCTGTTTTGAGGAAATTACACTATGAATGCATGAAAACTGTGATCAACATTGTTTTCACAATTATATCAAATGCAAAAAATAAATGCTTGTAGTTTTTCACCAAGTCAAGTGATATAAATTCAGATATTACTTTAATATTTATAATATAGTAAAATGTCACTTTTCCTATCAGACTGGATATTATATTTATATATGCTCTGTCACACACTTTAAAAAGTATCTATTATAGGAACTTCTCTGTAGGTTAACACTAATAATTTTATATGTTTTGGCAGAGTGTGATATAGTTTCATGCCTTTGTATGTATTATAAATGTTTGTATATTTCATAAGCATATCAAATAGAGAAGCTTGTTTATCCAGAGTGCTTGATACCTGGCCCTGTTACAGATTAATGATATTTCCGGAGTGTGATAATTCCCCACTTCAAAAAAAAAAAAAAAGTTTTGGCACAAGGGTATGGTATGTAACATAGAACATAAGTATAATAAAAATTAAACAAGTTTAAAACCCAAAATTTTTTTAATTGCTTATTTTAGCAAAAAGAATGCCATGAGTACCAACTGAAGATTATCTTTAATTATCTGTCAATACAGATGATACACAAAAGAGCACTTCAGAAGTTCATGGAAAAATAGAATTGAAAGATAATGGAATGTTTTCATGAACTTTTTGAAGCCTCTTTGTATACCTTTGAAATATGAGCTAAATCCTGTTTATATATAAACATCTCAAAACATTTTCTTGTTAGTTCATATACCAAAAACACCCTCTAAATTTATAATGTATGCATCATTCTCTTTAAAATGCCAACAAAAAGGCAAGATGCAATAATACAAATAAGTGAGTTTGCATTGTTTACTAAGAAATCCATGTCGATCTGCAGCTAGGACTTGTCTGGATTTGTTTTAATCTGCAGAAACAAGAGGGCAGGTGATTCAGTGCAGCAGCTCTTCTGAAAAGATCCATTGTTACCGTTTTCCCTCTGCCCTCAGCTTGTGTATTTTCAGTGTCTCCTTCTCAGTGGTAAATGAACTTTGGGGCAAAAAATTGATGAGAGTTTCACAATTATATAGTTTCTGACAAAGTCATTTTTAAATCTGCTTGTTTTACTCTCCAGCTATATTGTGTTTGGACATCATTGTTTGGCCATTTGCAACCCAGTACATGACATGCTAACTATGTTCTATGCCATTTTTTTTAAATGTAGTATTTCTAAAATAAACTGATCAGTTCAAAACAATAGAAGCAATTAAAATTTTCAAATGTTTCCAGAATTTAGATTATCTAACACTCTTTTCTGGCGTGGTGCTATAGGATAAGAATTGGACAGCTAACCTCAAGGTTAGCAGTTCAAACCCACCAGCTGTTCCTTGGAAACCCTAAACAAGGTCAGTATGAGTCGGAACCAACTCGATGGTATTTAACAGCAATAATAACAACATTCTGTTCTACTCTAATAATCTGGTATGGTAAAGTAATTTAGTATTAAAAATTTTTAATAGAAAAAAACATAGTTTTATTCTAAATGATTTGTAACATATTATTTGTAACTTACTTAAAACTTACTATTTGGGTGATATTCAAAATGATCACCCAAATCTATTTTAAAATTTACTCCAATCCTTCTAGCTCTTATTCCCTTTCTCTCACTATACTTTCTCCATATCACTAAGATATCTACATTCTAAGACCTTCTAGTTTTAGTGTGTCACTCCTAATCATTTCTTGCCCACCTTAACCTCATTTCCCTTTTCTACCCAGCCTTGCCCCACAGTACATCACTGCAGGCAAAACCTGTTATTAAGACCAATGTACAGTTTTTGGTGAAAAGTAAAGTTAGCTTTTGTTTTCTTAGAAGTGTTTTTATTGATCTTAATTCAAATCACTAATGCCCATGATTAACTGAAAAAATTTTTGAAATGCCACCCACAGATACATCTGAATTTAACAGCAAAAACCTAATGTCAACCAATATGTTTAATCTGGCACTTGAATTGCATTTTTATGTCCCAAACACCATGTTAGTTAGATGCTTCATATGCATTATCTTAAATTTCATAACATCTCTCTGAGGCAAGTATTCTCTCTACTTTCCAGATGGAAAAAACAAGCTTAAAAATTTAAGGAACTTTCTTATGGATACCTAGTTAGTAAATCCTAGAGTCCAGAGATTCATCCAGGCCAACAGACTTCACAACCCAACTCTAAACCACTATTTAGAAAGTCTTAACAAATAATCATATTCTACCACAAGAATATAACAAGAACCCTAATTTGGGAATTTGCCATTGTTTATTTGCTTCAGACATTAGCTCACATTTGGGTATTTTATTGTAATAAATTGAGAATCTGTGGTTCTCATTTTTATGCTGAACCCACAAAAAAATTCTTTTTTTAAAAACATTGAACAATGCTATAAATTATTGTAAAGAAATTTTTTCAAATATTAAAGTTAATGAAGGCAGTCCAAGGAGGAGGTAGATACTGTGCTTAAGGGATTAGCTGAATGAAAACGAAAGAGACCAATTTTGGAGTCATTTTTGTTGACCGTTTCTGGTTTTATACGTGAAACATTTCTATACTCCAACAATTAATTTTTTTGAATCATCACAGATTTCCAGCCCCAATTCAGTTGTATTTTTAGTAGTAATTATTTAAACAGAGAATAACAACTAATAGCAACTTTATTTAGCTTGTGAAAACATAAGTGAACTAACGGCAAGGTATTCTACAACCTTAATTTAGCTGCAGGTTAACTGCGCAGACTTTGAAGTCAGTCAGGCTGGATCTGCCTCCTGGACCTTATAATTACCAGTCATATGACATTTGCTCTGGTTGTGAATTGTAAATGAGATAATATATGCAGAATACCTAGGACAGTGCCTGACATATGTAAACATGCAGTGAATCATCGTTATTGCTGTTTTCATCTGATAACAAGTGTAAAGTGTCACCCATCAGGAGCAACTACTGAGCAATCTAAAGTTATGTGCCTAACTGCATTTTATTCTTTGTAAGAAAAGCCACACCATGACACTCTTTCTCTCACTGTGTGTCACTACATATCTATATCTATAGGTTGTTGTTGTGAAGAGCCGTCAAGTCGGTTCTGACCCATAGCGACCCTGTATAGGGTTTCCGAGGAGCAGCTGGTGAGCTTGA